CTGAATCAATGAGCTCTGGGTTCAATGAGAGACCCTGTCCCTAAAACTAAAGTGGGGAACATCTGAGGAAGACACTGACGTCACCCCTTAACTCCTCACATAGCCACACACCTGCACACATGTGCACACACACACACAGAGAATTTGCTATCATCTAGTTCTAGGTTATCTACAGAAAACCAATTTCATTGCATTTCTCTCATTTTATTTCTTCAAATTCAGCTTCTTTCCCAGCATCCTTCTTAGCTTATTTTCCCTTTCCTAGTAAGCTCATTCTACCCCGCATCCCTCCATTCACTGCTTGTTTGCTACATGGTCCAGAAGAGCCTCTCCTTCCTGCCTGCAGTACCTTTGGGGACAGAGTCCTTCTGAGGCCATGGCTATTCAGAAGCTATACTCAAAATGAATTTGTTCAATGAATTAATTTGTTCTCCTACCCACATGACTCATTGGATTGTCTCAAGTGATGATATTTTTTAATTATGACATGTTATCTCACAGGAGATAGAAAATGCACTCACAAGGAAAGAGAAATATGTTACCTAAATAAATCTAGAACCTAAAAATAGTGCATATTCTACAATAGATGGTAGCAGATGGCTTTCCAATAATAACCAACTCTCTCTTCTCACCTCTTCATAGTCAGAGATGATGAAAAAAACAACCTTTAAATTTTCTTCCCATCAATAAAGGAAAAGAAGAATAAAGAAATAGGGCAATTGATGTTTTGTGGACTAGCTGCTAGACTTCGTGAAATTAAAATGAGATGTTGCAAAAAAAGCACTTTCCACATGTCAAAACTGGAAGTTTGGAGGGCTGAGAATTAGGATACTGTGAAAGTAATCAATGAAGAAGTTTCTAAAATCTTAATTCCTTATTAGTAATATCAAAGTTATTCAAAACACCAGTATTTCAAACCATTTTGGTATTTGTTACCAAAGCTTTACCATGTGTCCATCTTTGACTATCATATATTTGTATGCTTTCTGTTTTTTCTTTGGTGATTGTTTGATTGATTAATGGATGGATGGATGGATGGATGGATGGATGGATGGATGGATGGATGGATGGATTGACTGACTGACTTTCAGCAGCTTTCAATAATCAACTGCTATTTTCCCATAGTTTCTACAGCTCAGAAACCTGGACACAGCTTAGCTGGGTGCCTCCGACTCAAGGACCCTCTCAAAGCTGTAATTATTGTCTGCCAGGACCACCCAAACAAGAAGTTAATTTTCAAAGAGAAAACAATGGTCAGGAGATTAATCAGTACACTTTTAAAACCCACAATAGTGAAAAGAAACATGAACATTATCTCATGTATAAAATTAAAAAGGGTATAAAGAATATTTTTAATCGATCATTGTTATATAGTTGATTCTGAATAAGTACTACCTATAGGAAGAATAGAAGCATAGATCTGAAATTATTGGTGTGCAGACTCAGTTCAACCCGGCTTTAGGGATGCCTTATGCTCTAGGAGCCTAACTCCTCCTTCCTAATACCAGAACCTCTCCTGTCAGTATCTTCTGGGGACCCCAGAATCATGGGCTAAAGACAAAATGGTTAGCTCATCCAATGCAGCATTTCCACTCCTGGCTGCACGCTGATATAAGGCTTAACTTCAACCTCTTCACACTTGCCAAGCTACCTGTTCCTTATTCCTTGTCCCTGTACTCTTGAACCGCTACAAATATCCTTCCTGCCTCTCACATCTCCACAGGTCCTTTCCTCTGCCTTGACCATTCTCACTTCCTCTCTTTGGCCTTTAATCATCCCTGTTATATTACCTCTTCCTCGGAGCTGTGATCAGATTGGATCAAGTTTCCAAAGCTCCCTATACACTACACTTTCCCTACAGGGCTTGTAATACAGTTGATAACCATATATTTGTATATGTTAACTGACTAAGATCTGTCTCTTCAACTGGTCCATGCTTCCTAAGAAGAGGTGCTGTGCCTCTCTGAGGCATAATGACTTCACCTTTGTCCAGCATTGCCTAGCACTGGATTCCTAATAAACAGACTCCACATTCCCCTCCAGTTTCCTGGCACTGCCCCAATTTTTGGATAATTACAAGGAAGCAACTGTGGGTAGCTATGAATAAGATTTTCAAAAAATTAAGTGATCTAGAGGGACTGCCTAAGAGCTCAAATAGAAAAAAAAAACTCCTTATTTTTATTGTTCCAGTTTGAGAAGAATCTTGCCATTGAAATCAGCACTCTACCATGGTTTGAATGTTTGTGCCCCTCCCAAAATCCATCCGAAACTTAATCTCCAATGCAATAATATTAAGAGGCGAGGTTAGGGGCCAGCAAGAATAAATAGTGGGTGGAAGTGCTTGCTAGGCAAGCCTACAGACCTGTGGTTGATTCAAAGAATGTACATAAAAAGCCAGACATGGTGGCGGGGGGCTCTGTAATCCCAGCACTCTGGCATGAGATGGATGAAGAAGACAGAAGGAGCTCTGATCCAGAAGCTCACAGGCCAGCTAGCCTAGAAAATGAAGCACTGCAGAAATAAGAGACTCCAAGGGGAAAGGAGAGAACTGAGTCTCAAAGTTGTCTTCTGACCTCCACACATGGGCCACGGTACACATGTGCCCATACTCATACACACACTGTACACACACACAAACATTACCACCAACAATGACAACACTAATAATAATAATAAAATTAAATTTTAAATTTTAAAAAAGAGGTGAAGTTAAAAACCAGTTGGTTGTGAAGGTGCCTCTCGTGAGTGGGATTAAGGTTCTTATTTTAAAAGGCAGCACACAGCCCTTCTGTTCTCTCTACCACGCAAAGATGCAATTTTCAAGGCATGCACCATTTTGGATATGGGGCAAGCCCTCACCAGCCACCAAATCTGATAGTACCTTGATTTTAGATTTCTCAACCCCAGAATTATGAGACGTTTCTATATTTATGTTAGCCAGTCTTAAATACCTTGTTATAACAGCCCAAATGAATTAAGGAACACTCTGTCTGCCATTTACTTCCTCCTAGGCTTGACTCAATTCTTCTTGCCCCTTCTCAGAACTGAGAGAAAAAGAGAACATTGGAGGTAACATCTTCCTGAAGTTCACCCACCACACCCAATTACTTAGCTCTTACTGTGCCCTGAGGAAAGATGGGAGGCTGACTTATAGGTAGGGAAGTAAAAAACACTCCAGTTTTGAGGGGCCTGCTTCTCTGAGTTGTCCTGGCTGTTTTTGTAGATGATTGTAGCCCAATCACACAACACATGGATCTATTATTTTAAGTTTCTGTAGAAATGTAAATGTGGGCATGCTTGTCAAAGCCAAGCTGCCTAAGAATAATAGACAACTGTATCTTGCCTATACTGGTGATCACTTTTTATAAGATTATCTTTGTAATTTTTTAAGTTGCTTATTTTTATTTTCTGTTTTGTCTGTGTGTGCATGTGAACATCATGCACATTCTTGCTTCCTACAGAGACCAGAAGAAGGCATCAGATCCCCTGGATCTGAAGTTACAGAGGGTTATGAACCACCATGTGGATGCTGGGAACTGTACCCAGATTCTCAACGAGAGCAGCAAGTGCTCTGAGTCACTGAGCCATTTCTCCAGCCCCTCTCTGATCATTTTTAAATTGGTTACTAGTTGTGTATTCATTTGTTTCTTCAGAAAATATTTACTGATGACCACCTCAGGACCAGGCCTCAACCTACAATCCAGTATAAGAAGACAAAGGAGTCCACTATCTTATAGAGGAAAATGGATTAAAGAACAGAGGGGTTAGGGATGTAGCTCAATTAGTAGAGAGCTTGCTTAGCACATATGAAGCCCCAGGTTTAATTTCCAGCACTGTATAGACTGGGAGTGGTATTGCACACCTGTCATTCCAGCATTCAGAGGCAGAGGTAGAATCAGGAACTTCTGTCAAGGCTGTTCTTGGCTACATAGCAGGTTCAAGGTTAGCCTGGGCTGCATGAGACCCTGTCACAAAAAAAAAATTCAAGCTACATAGAAATGACCTTCAAGAAAAATTGAACTGTGACTGAAATAGTAAGCTCTCAAAGAAAGCAGACTTTAATGATGTTATACCATCACTTTCTTTTTTGGTTTTTCTTTTTTTCCTTTTCTTTCTTTTTTTTGTTTGTTTGTTTGGTCTTTTTGAGACAGAGTCTTTCTGTAGCCCCAGCTGGACTGAAACTCACTGCGTAGACCAGGCTGGCCTTGAATTCACAGAGATCCTCCTGCCTCTGCCTCTGCCTCCTGAGTGCTGGGATCAAAGGATAAAGAAAATGTGGTTAGGCTCTTTTCAGGCACTATTATCACTAGAGTTGTTACTGAAAATTATCACTTATTTACTTACATTTATTTATTTATTTATTTATGGGGGTGCACAGGTACCATGGCACTTGTATAGAGTTTGGAAGGCAACATCTGGAGTTGCCTTCTTCTCCTTCCACCATGTGGGGCCCAGAGATCAAACTCAGGTCTTCGGGCTTGGCTACAAGAACTTTAATTGTCTCACAGTTATCATTTTTAAGTATTTTATTTATTATTTTTATTTTATGTGTATGAGTGTGTTGCCTGCATGTATGTAAGTGCACCCATGTTGTGCAATGCCAATGGATGTCAGAAGAGGGCATCGGATCCCCTGGAACTGGAGTTACAGATGGTTGTTAGCTGCCATGTGAGTGCAGGGAATCCAACCCAGATTCTCTGAAAGAGCGGGCAGTGCTCTCAACCACCGAGTCATATCTCCAGCCCCCACAATTATCCTTTTTAGATAAATATTGCTACTACTAATGATATTGTTGCTTTTAATTTTAGTAATATCATATTCATAACAATACTATTTTCTATGACTAATATATTTTATTTCTGTATAATATCCATGTTAATAATTCATTCAATGATCACTAACATTCTTGGGAAGATTTTTAACATATTGAGATTCTAAAAATTCAAGATTCTGTGCTTTGTTTCTTAATTTTTCTTCTGTTGTGCTAACTTCTTTAATAGGAAAGACTTTCTACAACCTGAAGAAGCTAACCATGGATTTCAAGCGCGTGAAGGAGTATTTTGCCTGGCTCTACTATCAATACCAAATCATCACTTGCTGTGCTGTCATGGAGCCCTGGGAGCAATCGATGTTCAACACCATCTTACTAACCATTGTTGCTATGGTAGTGTACACTGCCTATGTCTTCATCCCGATCCACATCCGCCTAGCTTGGGAGTTTTTCTCAAAAATATGTGGATATCACAGTTCAATTGCTAACTGATCTCAGCTGCATTCTTTGAAATGGCATTGCGTATTCACGTCACTTACAACTTAGATGACTGTGTCGTTTTTCACTGTCTGACCTGACCAGAACTCTTTCTATGCACTGTTATACCCTGCCTGGAGTATGAGATAGCTGTCTGCCTAGTTGCTTTTGTATGTTCTATACTGTGCATCAGATGATAGAAAATGCAATGACTTTACCTCACACCCCACATCCACTCAACTCAACTCTATGGCTTTAGATTTTTTTTTTTTTGAAATTAGGATGCTTTCAAATCAATTTTTTTCTGGAATATAGGCTTATAAGAGATCTGCCAGTGTCATATTTAAAATAATCCCTTCATACCTATTCTAGACTGAAGGATATGTTACAAAAAATTTCTTCATAGGCTACTGTCAAAAGTATCCTGTTCTTGTTTACAATCTATTCAAAGATGTGAATAAAATATATGAAACTTTAAAGCCTTATTTTCTGGTAAACATAAAATTATTTTACTTCAAATACAAAAAGAATAGGCTGGAGATATATATTTTCTTTCAGACATGGCTCACAGATAATTTCAAATGCCTCTAAAGTCTGGCTTCATTGCAGTTTAAAATCAACATTGATTTTTAGATAAACAAGTAAATGTTATACTAGAGAATAATTTAAGTTTAAGAAACAAAGTCAAATTAAAGCAATTCACATACTTTAACTTTTGATATTGCCCTACCTTGCATGATGCTGAAAGGAAAATAGAAAAAGAATTGTCAGATAATTTCAAATGCCTCTAAAGTCTGGCTTCATTGCAGTTTAAAATCAACATTGATTTTTAGATAAACAAGTAAATGTTATACTAGAGAATAATTTAAGTTTAAGAAACAAAGCCAAATTAAAGCAATTCACATACTTTAACTTTTGATATTGCCCTACCTTGCATGATGCTGAAAGGAAAATAGAAAAAGAATTGTTATTTTTCTGTGCCTGCACTCAGTGGAGGATTTAAAAAAAAAAAAAGCATGTACTGGCTACAGAAAGAAAAGCTAATAAATAGGCTGGAAGTAATTTTCTACCAGCAGGAACTCGGCAGCCCCAGTTAAACGCTTTGCTATAGTGGCTCCTTTGCACAGCTAAAACAAGAGTTATTAAATCTCCTTCAAACAGTTTATCTTCAAAGCACATATAAGATTTTAATTATACTTCTGAGTCAAATGTGAATGCCAAAGATGAAGCATTGCAGTTTTCTTTCCTCACAATAAATATTAATGTTAGTAATTCTGAAGGGTAAAAGTGTAAACAGGTTTTGGACAATATTGGTACCTTCGTGTTAGGAAAAAAAAAAAAATGTCCAAGGGGTGGTAAAAGGTACTTGGCATGCCAAGTTAACTTGCATGTTTGTTTTAAAAAACATGTTTTGAAAAAAAAAAAAAAGATCTAAATACACACTTGCTGATTTTTGCTAAATAAAATTAAGTTTAATTTTATAAGTAAAATGTCCAGTTTGGATTTTTTTTATTCATATGCCATTAACTATGTAGGTGGCACATCTGTCTCCCCAGCCTACCTCTTACTAATCTAATGGCTGATATTAAAATGATAGAGTAAAACTGACATTTGCCAAGTATATTAGTTACTTTCTCATTGCTGTGTCAAATGCCTGACAAGAGCAACTTAAGGAAGACTTTGTTTTGGCTCACAATGGGAAGGAACAGTCCATCGTGGTGAAAGTGTGGCAGGAGGACCACAAGGCAGCTGGTCACATTGCAGTCACAGTCAGGAAGCAGACAGGTGGATGTTGGTGCTCTTCCCATTTTCTCCTTTTTATTCATTCCAGGACCCCAGCCCATGTGATGGTGCTGCCTACATTCAGGGTAGGTCTTGCATCTTTGGTTAATTCTGGAAATACCCTCATAGAGACACCCAGATGTGTGTTTCCACCGTGATTCTAGATTGAATCGAGTTAACAATGAAGATAAAGAACTCCTCAATGCTGGACAGGTTTTACAGGTTGAAGCTACTTGTCAAAGTAGATATTCGGGTGCCTTGTTTACAGGCAAAGAGTCTGGAGCTTAGATAAGTTACATTCCTTATTCAAATTTAGTTAGCTACTCGCGCAAAGCAAGGATGACACTCCAGATTAGGATCAAACTGGTTACTGTGACTTTTTTCCCCTTGGATGTCCATAGGAGATAAATGATGAAAGCCACTGAATTATTAGAAGGCAGAATTCCATCACGTAAAAAAAGCAAGACCATGAAGAGCCAGTCAAGGCTGCAGGTGCCACTGCCACCACTGCTGAACTTGGGGTGTTGTTTATCCACATGTTCCTCAGGCCTCCTTGCCTTCTTTGAAAGATTGCTTTGCCTTTTAAATACATATCAGTTGAGCATGGACTTGAACGCATTCCCAGTTCACAGTAATTCAACACCCTTATATTCATGGATTCCTGCTAAGAACTCTTGGAATTCAGTCACAGAGATAGTGCTTTGGCCTTCTAAAAATAAGAGAGCTAAAATAAACATGAATAGACACAGGAGAACTTAAAAAAGGGTTATTACAAAGTACTGTCCCAGGATGACACATCAAAGGCCTGTATTGTCTCTAAACAATCAAAGTAGTAAATGCAAGGTCCAAAAAGTAAAATCAAACATAGTTTAAAAAGAACTAGCAGTATGCAGAGGGAAGCAAAGAAAACAGCACCTACTGCCCTGCTGGATTTCCAGACTGGAGAGATGTTCTTATGGTGGGCACAGCTGGCCTGGTTAGAAATACTTTCTGGGTGTTTTCCTTGGCTTCCACTAATGGATTTTTCAATGGTGTGCATAGAACTTTAAAACAAGAAAAGCCAAAGGTTCTATGGTTCCAAAGGACTTGCATTTGTCACTCATTGAACTAGGAATCATAAAATGTTCATTCCTTGGTATTGGATAAGACATTAAATAAATACCCAAGCCTGTTTTACCTACTTGTATAACAACACACACACACACACACACACACACACACACACACACACACATACACACATACACACACATACAGTTTTAACATAATATCACTGATCTGTCTTCATTACTTGTTAAAAATAATCACTAGCTGCATTTTCTGCTTCTTTCGTTCTCGATCACTAATATATTAAGGTCCTGAAACTAGTGTATTCCTGGAAAGCAGATTTGTCCTTATTTCTGAATGTCAAGTATCTAGCCCAGTGGTTAGTACAGGAATTAGCAGATGTCCATAACCTAACTCCCCACGCTCTGTACCTATTCAAAAACAAAGAAGTTCAGCCTGTGTACTGGAGGACCTCAGCTGGATAGCTTCAGACTATGGACCAAAAGAGCAACCTTCATTCAATCACACAACAGACTTATTATAAATTAATCAGGCATTGATGCATAGGCAGAAGGGAGGCACAATGGGGAAATTATAACAAGCTAGGTGCTGGGTACGCAGGTACAGGTGTTGTTTATAAGACTCTTTTACCTCTGAACATTTGAAAACTTTTAATTAAAAAATATAGTAAGGAAAAGAAGCCTACCATATGCTAGTTGTTGAATGTGATAAGGAAACAAAGATTAGATAGAGACAGATTATAAAACCTGAATTTATACATCAGATGACCTGGTTTACAAGACTACAGCTAAAAAGCAAACAAAATATTTAACATACAAATTTTGAACAGATCTCATGAAAATAAACAGCAATGTTTTGAGGAGGAAGCAGCAGGTGGCAGGGGATGGGAAGGACCCTGGAATGGTAAGAATTAATGGGTCAGGCAGGAGGGCCACACAGCTTTTGCAAACAAGCGCTGGACTGAGGTGGTGGTCTCAGTCAGAAAGGTGAATGTTGTAATTGATGCACATTTTAGAGATAGAAAGTTAACAGGTTTTGCTGATGCAGTAAGTCCATTGAACTCACACACATACATACACGCATGCACACACACACGCACAGGCATAGTGACATAGGCTTGTAGTTCTAGCATTTAGGAGATGAAGATAGAAGGGCTACAAGTTTGAAGCCAATGGGGATTCAAAGAGAAAGCTTTATAAAGAAAAACTTTTAACCCACCCAAAGGAAAGTTCTTCTTCACTTTGGGAAGCTATTTCCAGAACTGACTGTGAAGAGAGTACAGGGTCTTTTATAACGATTGAAGAATAGGAGCTGAAGAGATGGCTCAGTGGTTAACAGCAATGGCTGCTCTTGCAGAGGACCAGAGTTCCCAGCACCCACATAGTGTCTAACAATCAGCTGTAACTCCAGTTCCAGAGGATCCAATGCCCTCTTCTGGCCTCTGTGGGTATTGTACACATGTGGTGCACTTAACTACATGCAAGTAAAACCCTCATACATGTAAAATAACAATAAAGAAATCGATTTTTTTTAAAGATTGAATGGCAAATAAGTAAATAATTTAAAAATTAAAATTACACTTTTCACTCTACTTTTCTGGTTTTTAGAGTCACTGTATCTCCTTGAAGGTCGTTATGCATGTGCTTAGAAGAAAAGTTTCAATTTTCCATCATGAAACAGGATAATTCTCTACGTGCTTTGCATTATCAAAACTAAAATACTAATAGCATGGTAGCTCTTGGGATTAAATTATTCTAGCACTAGGACTGATGAGATGGTACAGTGGGTAAAGGCACTTGCCACCAAGCCTGATTGTAGTGTTTACCATTACGCCAACATCATAATCATCTGAACAAATAGACTGACTCTCAAGTTTTTGTTTTTTTGTTTTGGGGGTTTTTTTCAGTCTTTTTGAGACAGGGTCTCCCTGTAGCCCCAGCTGCCCTGGAACTCACTATGTAGACCAGGCTGGCCTTGAACTCACAGAGATCTGTCTGCCTCTGCCTCCCAAGTGCTGGGATTAAAGGCATGCGCCACCATGCCCAGACCTAAATAAAATCTTTTTAAAGTCCTTAGTCCAGATTATATCCATTAATAAAAATCATTCCTACACCTGAGGACCTGAGTTCCATTCCCAGGACCCACATAGCGGAAGGAGAAAATCAACCCCCACAAGTTGTCCTCTGACCTACACACACACACACAAATAAGTGTCACAAATAAATGAAATAAAAATATTTTTTAATTATTGTAGCTCTCATTGGCGAGTTTAAATAAGCTCCATGAACAAATCGCGGGGTTGGGGTTCTCTTTGGCTTACCCCTGAACTGTCATGCAGATGATAGTAAAAGCAGAGGCACTGCTAAGGCTTCCTGGTGGGCTGTGGTAAGGCTTCCTGGTGGGCTGGAAGACCCACTTTTTAGTTTTAATTATTACTCATAAATAACAGGAAATAGGAGGCAGGAGTTCTAAAATAAAAATTAGCTTTACAGCGGTGACAGAGCTTATTCTTGGAGCTTTCTTCTGAGCCATTGTAAGCAGACCAGATATATCCCATTGATGATATTCACACTTCTAGTGTCTTCTATATGAATTGATAATTTAAGTTGCTCATTTTATTATTACATTTCTGGTTTTTGCTAATGGAAAGTGCTGAGGTAGCACTTTGGCCCAGATGTCTGATTGGAGAAGCATCTCCATAGACTGCAAAATAGGATGCACCATGTGATCCACCCAAACACGGACTCTGCCTGGAACACCCACACCACACCTGAGGCAGGTGGATTTCCCAGATGGCACAATCCACCATGTCACAGAGCATCCATATATGCATGCTTGAATTTCTATAAAACCAGGAAAAGAGGACCAGGGGAAGAAGGGAGACCAGGGGGAGAGGGTAG